GATATTAAATGAATTTAATAAATTAGTAATCAGATACTACCACTCTTTCCAGTAAGCCATCAAGTCCCAGTTTTCTGATAGACAGGCTAAGAATAAGAAGGGGTGGGGCCTGTTGGAAGCAGCTAGAACCATTGCTTCCTGCTGCTCATGGGACCTTGCCTGAAAAATCTGAGTGTGCTCTCAGCCCACATTTGCTTGGGCCCACACTGCATTCTCATCCCATTTGATGGCCAAGAATAAGTCCCCAGTCTAATGGGCCTTCAGTGCCATTGACCATGCTTCACCTCCAGTAGTTCTGCTCCTGATTTCAATAAATTAAGTCAACTATAAGGGCCAAGAGACATATTCTAATATCTAAACATATTTCATCTTTCCAAAGCATACTTTTTCTCTAATCATTTTAGCAGCTACAGAAAGGGTGGGAAAGATTACAATAATTGAAAAAGAAAGAAAATGACTGATTTTTAAGTTGGATGCCTTATGACCAAAAGGCATGCAGTCTTCAATTTTCTTCTACTAATATTAAATCTGCTCTACAGAAACCACAGAGAACATTACCTCATCGGGGCCTAAATTTAATATTGTTGCATAAGCTTTCCAAATGATTTAATATTTTTCTATAAACTTTAAAAAAAATTTTTTAACTTATTAAAATATAAAGAAAATATATCATGCATATATAATATATTTCTATATCAAAAAAATCAAAACATTACAAAATATAAATATTTATAGAGTTCAATAATTTTAAAAGCTTTTCTAACAATATTAAATTGAGGTCTATGTTAGTAATAAAAGTGTATTCTTACCTAGTGTAACTTTTTAGTGAATGTACACTACCAAGGTTTATATATATAAACATGTATGATTGGGTGTTACACGAAAAAAATATGACATAAAAAAAGCCCGAAGAATTTGAGATAGAGTGGCACGCCACTTCCCATACAATATATGCCCTCCATTGGATTCGGCTGATGGCGCGTCATTTCCGGGAGGGCACTACTAATGTGTGTATCTAGACAACGCCATGTCACTTCCTGGGGGATGGTATTACTGACGGATATACATTGCACCAGTCCCCCAGTCTACGAATTCAGAATGAATGTCTCTGGATGCGTGCGTTCCAGGTTGACATGCATATGGCCCATCTTGGCTACCAATGCTGACAAAAATGCTGCGTCATTTCCGGTATGACGCGTGCATTTCAGCATGGTAACAGGAAATGGACACGTTTTGTTTTTTAAATATATTTTTATTGTAGAAGATTTACATTGTATAACACGAGATTATGATCTTGTAGAGGATTAGATTGAGAAGAAAAGGAAAAAAAGCGGTTCATGCAGGGCCCAGATTCACAATTAAATTATTATGCGACACGCAGCTCCTTTGTTTGGACGACACATACAACATACATATATGTGATGCTCTAATTGTCTCAACCGGACAGTTTGCTGTCTCCCAGGTGCTCAGGTCCGGCATGTTGCCGACAGAGTGGAGGGATTATTGGGAGGGGCTGGGGATGACCCAGCTGTCATGGTCCATATTGGTACCAATTACAAAGTCAGAGGAAAATGGAAGGTCCTAAAGAATGAGTTCAGGGATTTAGGAAGTAAGCTAAAGAAAAGGACCTCCAAGGTAATACTTTCAGAAACATTACCTGTGCTGCACGCTACCGCAGAAAGGCAGCGGGAGTTTAGAGAGGTCAATGCGTGGCTGAAGTCTGGGTGCAGGAAAGAGGGTTTTGGGTCTATGGAGCATTGGGCCGATTTTGTGCTTGGGTACAACCTGTATAGTCCTGATGGATTGCACCTAAACGGAAGAGGGTCTGCCGTGCTGGAGGATAGGATGGCTAGAAGGTTGGAGGAGATTTTAAACTAGTAATGGGGGGGAGGGTCAAAGCAATCTAGAAAATGGAGATAGAATAGAAAGGAGATGGGCTTTAGCTCAGTGTAAGGGTGGTGGAAATGGGAGATGGGACAGCTCAGAACAGAGGAGGTATGTAATATTGATGAAAATTCACAAAAAAGTACAAATGACTCATGACAATATTAAGTGTATGATTAATAATGCACGGAGCCTACATAACAAAATGAGGGAGCTAGAGGCAATAGCATACACTAAATAATATGATATAATAGACATAACAGAAACATGGTGGGATGAGACACATGACTGGGCAGTTAACTTAAATGGGTATACGTTATTTAGGAAGGATAGGAAAAACAAGAAGGGTGGTGGGGTATGTTTGTATGTCAACCTCATTATAACAAACAATGTTGATCTTTTGACCAACATTCAAGTAGGGGAGCATAGTGATCACAATATGGTAATTTTGAAATAAACTAAAAAAAGCAAAAGCAAGTGGGGTATACTAAAACGTATAATTTTTAAAAAGCTAATTTTAATAAGATTAGGGCAGCTCTACAACATATTGACTGGCATAAACTCCTTAGTGAAAAAAACACTTAGGATAAATGGAAAAAATTCAAACAAATATTAGAAAGGTACATTTCTCAGTATGTACCATTGGGTAATAAATATAAAAGAAACAAATTGAAACCAATGTGGCTTAGTAGAGAAGTAAAACAAGAGATTAAAAATAAGAAAATGGCATTTAAAGCATTCAAATTGGACAAATCAGAGGCATCCTATATAAGATATAAGGCAGCCAATAATGCTTGCAAAAAGGAAATTAAAGTGGCTAAATTAGAAAATGAGAAATTGATAGCCAAAGAATGCAAAACCAACCCCAATATTTTTTTTCAAGTACATCAATTCTAAAAAAACAAAAAATTAAAGTGTAGGTACACTGGAAACAAAGATGGGTCTGTTAGTTACATAGTTACATAGCTGAAAAAAGACTTGCGTCCATCAAGTTCAGCCTTCCTCACGTATGTTTTTGCTGTTGATCTAAAAAAAGGCAAAAAACACAGTCTGAAGCGCTTCCAATTTTGCAACAAACTAGGAAAAAATTCATTCTTCACCCCAAAATAGCAGTCAGCTGTCTCCTTGGATCAAGCAGCTATTACCCCACTAATTAGAAATTATATCCCTGTATGTTATGTTTTTGCAAGTATTTATCCAATTGCAGTTCAAACATCTGACAAAACCACCTCTTCAGGCAAAGAATTCCATATCATTATTGCTCTTACTGTAAAAAAACTTTTTCTTTGCCTTAGATGAAATCTCCTTTCTTCCAGCCTAAATGTGTGACCTCGTGTCCTATGTATAGCCCTGTTTATGAATAGATTTCCAGATAATGGTTTGTACTGGCCCCGAATATATTTGTATAATGTTATCATATCCCCTCTCAGGCGCCGTTTTTCCAAACTAAAGAGATTTCCCCCAATCTATCCAAATCCCTCTGCAGCAAGGCAATATCCTGCTCACATTTTATTACTTTACAAAGTGTTGTGTCATCTGCAAACACTGATACATGGCTTTCAATGCCCATTTCAAGATCATTTATAAATATGTTAAATAGAAGCAGTCACAAAATAGAACCCTGAGGGACACCACTTACCACTTTTGTCTAGCTTGAAAATTTACCATTAATGACAACTCGTTGTACTCTATCCTTAAGCCAATGTTCTACCCAAGAACAAGAATATTCATCTAAAATTCATGTAAATAAAACTCCACGGCCTGATGGTATTCACCCACGAGTACTTAAGGAGCTAAGTAGGGAAATAGGTGAACCACTGTATTTAATTTTTCAAGATTCTTTTGTTTCAGGTATTGTACCGGAGGATTGGAGGAAGGCAGATGTTGTTCCTATATTTAAAAAGGGTTCAAAATCCTTGCCTGGACATTATAGACCTGTGAGCTTAACTTCTGTGATTGGGAAAATATTTGAAGGGCTATTAAGGGATAATATTCAGGAATTCATTGGGAAGAACTTTGTTATTAGCAATAATCAGCATGATTTTATGAAACATAGGTCATGTCAAACTAACCTAATTGCATTCTAAGAAGAAGTAAGTAGAAGTATAGATCAGGGTGTTGCAGTGGATGTGATCTACTTGGATTTTGCCAAGGCATTTGATACGGTTCCTCACAATAGGTTAGTTTTCAAACTAAAATAAATTGGTCTAGATGATTATTCTTGTTCTTTGGTAGAACATTGGCGTAAGGATAGAGTACAACAAGTTGTCATTAATGGTAAATTTTCAGGCTGGACAAAAATAGTAAGTGGTGTCCCTCAGGATTCTGTTTTAGGACCGCTTCTTTTAACATATTTAGAAATGATCTTGAAATGGGCATTGAGAGCCATGTTTTGGTGTTTGCAGATGACACAAAACTCTGTAAAGTAATAAAATGTGAGCAGGATATTGCTTTCCTGCAGAGGGATTTGGATAGATTGGGGGATCGGGCACTAGAAATGCAAAAATATGCACTTCAGGGTCAAGAATGCACAAGCAACTTCCACCCTAAATGGTAGTGAATTAGGGATAACTACACGCGAGAAGGATTTAGGAATTGTTATAGACAACAAATTAGGCAGCAATATGCAATGTCAATCTGCAGTTGCTAAGGCCAGTAAGGATTTCTCATGTAAAGGAGATGCAAGACTCTTTTCAACTATGTAACTATGTAACTATGTGCAGCATCTTATACAATGGTTTTAGGGTTGAACACTTCTAGCTTTTTCAGCCTGTGTGTGATGCGTATTGCGCCCTAGAGGGTTCCCGTCTTGTTGTTTGTCATTGCTTTCTTTGTCATTCTCAGTTTACCCAGGAGTAGAGGGGTTGTTGTGCGGGTGTAGAGGACCCCTCATACATTGGGTTGGCTACCTCTATTGGTGTTGAACAATAGACAGCGTGTGTTATAGGGGCGCTAGGGTCTCGGTTTATTTCATTGATAGGTCTGATATGTAGGTCTCTCGTATTCTGTTTCATGTATCTGGCCAGGGGGCTTTCATCTAGTGGGTACTTATCGAATGCTGTCTATGTTTCATTGTAAGCTTGTTGCTAATTAATGCTCTGTGTATCGGTACGGGCCGTAGTGCGTTCTCTGTCAGTAAGAGGTTCTCTTGTCTCGGAGTAAGAGAAGGGGATGTTTGTGTTATGATGGATACGTAGGTTCCGTTTTGTGCATGCAGTGGAGCTACGGTGGCCATCAGCGGGAGTATGGGCTAGTTTGTTCTCGGGTGACCATTGTCTAGCGTTGTCAATGGTGTTCTGTATGCTGCGTGTGAAAGGTTGCTGCTCATTTATCCGGGTGACCCTGCATGCCTTGTGGGCTAATATCAGTTGTTGTATATATGGGCAAGTGCTTGTGTGTATTGGGCCAGTTGAGATCTGTTCTTTTTTCTTGCACGGTTTTGAGTAGGGTCTGTGGTTATTACGGTTTCTCTTGTTTGGGGAGTATTCTCCCTTGGTTTTGGTGTAGTCTGGCTCTATCTCTGAGGCTTGCTCGAAGTATGGAGCGTTTTGGTAGGGGGGGGGAGAAGGGGGAAACTGGGGATAACAGGAGGGGGAGGTGACCGTAAGTGGTAGGGGGGTTGCCTGCAGTGTGGGTGGTGTGTGGGTGTGTTGGGGTTTCCGTCAATTGGTCCTATGGGTCCCGTTGTTTTGGAGCTTCAATGTAAATTCATCTTTCGTGGTCTCGAGTAGCCAGTGAGTCCAGTTCTCTGCGTACGGTACGGGGTTCGTATTGGTGGTCATGGTCAGTTCCTCTATTGCCCTGAGTTCCTCCATTTGGGTGAACCATGTCTTTAGAGGGAGCGCTATCGTTTGCTTACAGAATTGAGGAAGAACTTGCTTTGCTACGTTTAATATTCTGATGGTCATGGATTTCTTGTATTTAGACCTAGGAATGGTTGTGTGGTGAAGTAGCATTTCTACCGGTTCCGGGAAGGTGGTGCATCGAAGAACATTTCCAGCATGCCATGTATTCCCTCCCAATATAATGTGTATCATGGTGCCTACTTCTTTTTCACATCTCCAGCACATATCAGAGTGTTCCGGGTCAATATTGTGAAGGAGATGTGGTGGAAATGGACACTTTAACCACACCAGGAAGCGATCACCAGTCAACAATATAATTTATAAACTCAGATTGTATGGACTTACCACACTTCTGATGAAGCCTTTGAAGAGGCAAAATGCGTAAAAAGTGGGGTCCAGTTTTAGTATTTTCTTATTGTTTTTATTTATTTTATTAACTTTTATTATACTTTTTATTATTTATTTACCATCTCGCTTCCAGATACCATCATATCCCTAGGTGGGGATCATAACAACCATGCTGGTTACACTAGAGCATGTCCTGCTCTATATAATCTAAGCACATTTCTTCATTTCCACTAGATTCCAAATAGTACTTACTTCACAAATGGAGTTTCCTCTTTTCTCGATTTCCATATCACGCTGAACTTGGAGAACCTTTGTGTCAGGATTACTGTTTGATCCAGCACGTAGAACTGTACAGCACGGATGACAAATAAGTAACGTATTACCGGTCCTTAGAATGGCCGGATTTAACGTACAAAGAATAGTCAAAAATACTAGCCGAGGTCAGGGAACACAGAAAGGGACACAGCGATGAGGAAAGCCAGGAGTCAGGATACCAGAATATAGAGAAGTCAATAAACAAAGCCAAAGTCAAAAAACAGGTAGAAAACTATAAACAGGAACGCGCTCTCGGACAACCACAAGGGAAACCACGACAGGGCACTGAGCAGGCTGAGAACTGGGCCTAAATACCCCTCCTTTAGTTCTGATAGGCTGTAACCGGCCTTTGACCCCAAAGTCAGTTACCAGGTTTCATTTGCATAATTGCTGCTCAGCATTAACCCTTCTGTGGATTAGGTTGCTGCTCGGCACAACTTTTCCTGTGTGGACAGTAAATGTCATTAACCACTTTTCTATAAGTGGATGAATACATGACACCAGGTTTCATTTGCACAATTACTGCTCAGCATTAAACCTTCTGTGGATTAGGTTGCTGCTCGGCACAACTTTTCCTGTGTGGACAGTAAATGTCATTAACCACATTTCTATAAGCGGATGAATACGTGACATTACCCCCCACCTGAAGAACGCCCACCGGGCGGACAGGACCAGGCTTGAGAGGAAATTTAGCGTGAAAAGCGCGGATCTTACGGCCCGCATGCAGGTCAGGAGCCGAAACCCAAGAACGATCAGCAGGACCGTAACCTTTCCAAACAACCAAGTACTGTAAAGTGCCCCGAGAAAACCTAGAATCCACGATAGAAGATACCTCATACTCTTCCTGACCACCCACCACCACCGGAGGGGGAGGAACACAAGGAACAGTATATCTATTGCAGACAAGAGGTTTGAGTAAGGACACATGAAAAGTGTTGGGAATCCCTAAAGATGCAGGAAGAGCTAGAGAGTAAGACACTGGATTGATCCTACGAAGCACTCTATAGGGACCAAGGAATCTGGGGGCAAACTTCATGCTAGGGACCTTAAGCTTGATGTTGCGAGATGACAACCAAACCCGGTCCCCCACTTGGTACACCGGGTTGGCACTCCTACGCTTATCAGCAAAATGTTTGAAGCGTTCAGCAGCAGCCCCTAGAGCAGTTTGAACCTTAACCCAGGTATCCCGAATGGAGGCCAGATGCTCATCCAGAGCAGGAATGGCAGTATCAGAAAATACCGCAGGGAGAACCGTAGGATGCCTACCATTATTGACAAAAAATGGACTGTGCCCAGAGGAGTCATGAACAGCATTGTTTCTAGCGAACTCGGCCCACGGGAGTAGTTCGGACCAATTGTCTTGTGTGCTATTAATAAAACAACGCAAATAAACTTCTAATGACTGGTTAGCCCTCTCAGCTGTACCATTGGTCTGTGGATGGTAGGAGGAGGAGAAGGAGAGATCAATCCCCAATTGTTTACTGAACGCCCTCCAGAACCTGGACACAAACTGAGAGCCCCTATCAGACACAATATTGTGGGGGATGCCATGCAAACGGACAATTTCACGTATGAAAATTAGGACCAAATCTTGCGAAGATGGCAACTTCTTGAGAGGAATGAAGTGAGCCATCTTAGAAAATCGGTCTACCACCATGAGAATAGTAGTGAACCCAGCAGAGCTAGGAAGCTCAACAATAAAGTCCATGGATAAGTGGGACCATGGAATCTCAGGGACAGGAAGAGGCTGCAACAGGCCACAAGGAAGTGCATGAGTCACCTTAGAAACTGCACACACAGAACATGCCTGCACATACTCCTTTACATCTTTCCTGAGTGAATCCCACCAAAATGATCTAGTGATCGCAGCAGTGGACTTATTGATGCCCGGGTTTCCAGCAGTTATATTGTCATGGAACACTTTCATGATATTAACCCTTTCACATAGGGGAACGAACAATTTATCACACGGTTTACCACTGGGTGCCTGAGGCTGGGCCTCCAGTATGGTGCCAAGCAGTGGAGAAGACAGTGAGAGGACAGTAGTAGCAATAATACACTCTGGTGGAATAATAGAAGATGTCACCTGTTCCGGAGCTGACTCATTATCAAATTGCCTGGACAAGGCATCAGCCTTGGTATTTTTAGAACCAGGTCTATAAGTAATGAGAAAGTTAAAGCGTGAAAGGAATAGTGACCATCTAGCCTGTCTGGAAGACAAACGTTTGGCATCCCCTATATATGCCAGATTTTTGTGGTCAGTTATGATCAACAGGGGGTCCTTGGAACCCTCCAAAAGATGTCGCCACTCCTTGAGGGCAAGAATAATGGCCAACAGTTCTCTATTGCCAATATCGTAGTTGCGCTCAGCAGGAGACATCTTTCTGGAGACGTAGCCACAAGGATGCAATGGTGTTCCCTGGCTTTCTCTCTGAGAGAGAACAGCCCCTACCCCTGTCTCGGATGCATCAACCTCCAATATAAAAGGTTTACTGGTGTCAGGATGTTTTGGTATGTCCGCAGAGGCAAATCTTTGTTTAAGAGTCTCAAAAGCATTCACAGCCTCTTTGGACCATACCGTGCTACTAACCCCTTTGCGAGTCATATTTGTGATTGGGGCTAATACAGAAGAAAATCCCTTGATGAATCTTCTGTAATAGTTGGCAAAACCAATAAACCTTTGAATGGCTTTTAAACCAGAGGGTAATGGCCAGTGTAGTACAACCTCTAGTTTTTTAGGATCCATTTGAAATCCCGATGCAGAGATGTTGTAACCCAAAAAGTGGACTTCAGGCTGGTCAAATATGCACTTTTCTAATTTTCAATAAAGTTTATTTTTCAACAACGTCTGCAGAACCTGTTTCACATGGGAGTGGTGAGTTTGAAGATCAGGGGAATACACCAAAATATCGTCCAAATAAGCCAAGACAAATGAGTAAATGAATTCCCTGAGTACATCATTTATAAAGTCTTGGAATACGGCCGGGGCGTTGCATAACCCAAATGGCATTACCAGATATTCATAGTATCCACTACGGGTATTAAATGCCGTCTTCCACTCATGATTCTCTTTAATTCTAACCAAATTGTAAGCGCTCCTAAGGTCAAGCTTAGTAAATACTTTAGCTCCCTGAAGTCTATCGAACAATTCGGAAATGAGTGGGATAGGGTATGCATTTTTACAGTGATTTTATTAAGTGCCCTGTAGTCTATGCAAGGGCGTAACTCACCACCCTTTTTCTCAACAAAAAAGAATCCTGCACCAACTGGTGAGGATGACTTTCTTATGTGCCCTTTGCTCAAGGATTCTTTGATGTATTCCTCCATTATTTTACTCTCCTGGGGAGATAAGGCATAAACTGCCCCCTTAGGTGGCATAGCGCCTGGAAACAGGTTAATGGCACAATCATATGCTCTGTGGGGAGGCAATACATCGGATTGAGCCTTGTTAAACACCTCCTGAAGTTCTCGGTATTGTATGGGAACTCCAGGAGTTTGGGGAGTGGTAGTGGGAAGGTCAGTAGTATCCAATCTCTTTAGTACTGGTTCTATACATCTCCCCATACACTCTTTACCCCATTCTAATATCTCCCCATTAGCCCAGTCAATATAGGGATTGTGCTTACTCAGCCACGGAAACCCTAATATGATAGGACATGATGGAGAAGTAATAACCTGAAACGTCATCTCCTCCCTATGGGAGGCCCCAATGGAGATCTTAATAGGGACAGTTTCGTGGGTTATAAGCAGTTGTGTGAGTGGTCTACCATCAATAGCCTCTACAGCTAGCGGCGTAGGTCTCTCCCTGACCGGTATCTCATTACCCCTAATAAACTGGACATCAATAAAATTTCCAGCAGCACCTGAGTCCATTTGGGCACTGCAAGAAAACTTCTTGTTATCAAGGGAAATAGATACCTCAAGGAGGAATCTACTTTTGTTTTTGTTAGAGGACAACTCCATCACACCTAAGATCTGTCCCTTTAAGGTTCTTAGGTGCGGAAGTTTTCCGGACGCACTGGACAATTAGTTATCATATGTCCCTTTCTACCGCAATATAGGCATAA